ATTGGATAGTCATTTATGTAGCGTATAATGTTTATAATTAGGTCTGAAATATACGATCCTGCGATGCCGGCTCTATCACTATGAAGCAGAATTCACCGAACTGGGTTTGACCGCCAGTAGACAGATGGGTTTTTGTATGCCTTGTATTTTGTGTGGAAGAAAGAACGGACCAATTTCTTAGAAGGAGGATTTAGCTACACTGTTTTCAAATGTAAGTTTTGGTTCTATAAAATATTAAAATGTTCAATAAACTAATCACCCGAGATTATTTACAACTGTTTACATTGCAAAATATGACCGCGCAAATGCGGTCAGTAAAAATGTATCTTATCTATAATATAGATATCTCAAAATCGAATCCTATTTTGCTTCTTTCGCGTACAGGCGTGAAAACCGAGGTTTACTACTAATTTATTCTGAAAAAAAATATCCCCCGATGTAAATACGATGAAGTTAGTCTAAGACTTCCCAAAGGTCAAACAACTGATGAACTTCTGTTAATTGGAAATCACAGTGAGACCTGGAAGGGACTACTGGAGAGCACACGGACTGTTCCACTAAGAAAAGTTAAAAAAAAATAATGAACAAAACACCTATTTCAAATCTCAAAACAGTCAATCAAGCTTCGACTGTAGGTTGTCGTCTTATAACTTTTTTTTTCGTTTGTATTATTTTCTCCAAGTGAAACAGGTGCTCGTTCTGAGCTTCCCCTCCAGCTCGTCTGAAAGCGGTCTTCGGCGCTCAAACAGTAGTGCCAGCCGGACAGATTAGGCCGCGGTTATGAGAGAACTGCGCAGCCCCTTTATCTGAATAAACATTTGGCGAGGACCGCTATCTGCGGACACATCAGCGCTGAGGACGCGGCCGGCAGAGCTGCGCTTCGCGTCTGACCGGCGCGACGGAGAAAGTTGGACGTCAATATTCTCTTTTTGAACCCCGGCATGACTGAAACCCCCAGGTGTCTATAGACTTTAGCCCACACCATGCATTGGACCTACTTCAGAGTATCAACGCAGCTTCAAAATGTGAACATTTCCTTATACTCTTAATATTTCCATTAAACTCTTACTCCTGACATTTTCAAAGTCTGTAATTCTTAAAGACACAATGCTTTTTAATTGTGGTCTTCTAATTGGTGTGCTTTTTCAATTACATGCAAATAATACCAAAACACGCACAGATATATGTATGAATGTAATAGTGACCCGCTTTCACGAATTGGCTAATTGCACAGGTGTGTTCCGATCCTGCACTTTCATGCGGCGCAGAAGTTTCCGCTCAACAGCACCGCTGTGCTCAGCCAGCAGGAATCAGCAGGAAAACACGCGCTTTTACAGTGTCTGGGACCGCAACACACCCCCGGGGTTCGCGATGCGCTATGGAGCCCACACCTGACTCCCAGTGTAAAATCTTTTCACTACGGCAGTGAAACTAAAACAACAGCAAAAGACCGACAGGTGCGCTTCAGGCCGACACTGGCAACAATTTCGAAAATTTGCTACCATTACAGCTGTCCTGGTAATAATTACCCAACTTTATCACTTTGTATTAGGAATTTTCTTATACTGCGGAATATAATATTTAAGTTTGATAATTGCAAAGGAAAGTCTGAAAAGGACATTTACAGAAGTCCTTTTTTTTTAAGGGCGATTTCAGCAAGGTGAAACAGCCCTCAATTCTTGCTAGGCTTCTTGTGAATCACACACACACAACGTTTAAGCTTGAACAAGTTAGAAAGAGCAGCACAGCTGATACATTCTCATCTCCAGAGTTCTTGCAGACAGCCTCTAAATCAAATATTAACTGAAATTAGTCGTGTAGGAAATGTACAATCGAAAAAGTAAAAATTGTGCGCACAATGATTATGAAGGTGTGAAATGTGTTCAATTCATAAGAAGAATATAGATTTTCAAGACCCGTTTTTTTTAATCTCAGGTTTTTGAGAGAAACAAAGGGAAAAGAGTGTCGCAATGTGTTTCTAAAAAAATGTTAAAGTCTCAGATCAATCAAAAAATAGATCCGAAAAGCGTGTATTTTAATAAGTATTATAGCTTTCCTTTTCCTAATGTCAGTCCGTTAAAATAATAAGCATATTGCAATTACTCTATAAGTGTATCAGAAGGTCAGTGTAAAAATATCAACTGACCGGCGGCAGAAAAGCTGTAAAAACTGCGTCTGAAAATGATTCAGCAATTACACAGTAATTAGCAGAGCTAAATTTGTAAATTTGTAATTAGTGTTAAATAATCTATCAATGGGATTCTCACGTCTTGTTTAATCTGTCTCATGCTATTCTTTATATTGATTTATATTTTTTATGTATTCTTGAATGACTTTGCTTTATGCATAGCATATATATGGCATGTTTTCAATACAGCTGCATTTGGAACGGAAGTGCTGTCGTTTCGCGGCTGTGGAAGTCCGAGATTATCAACACCACGCTGTGGTCCACGCTGGCGTGGGTATCTGACTACACCGGAGCACTGTACGTTAGCTCATGGTGCAACGGTTCCCCAGTATTTACCGTTCCCACCCGTGTCGTTCACGAGCTAATGGAATGTCATTGATCGAGCTGTTCGAAAGACGCCACAAGGTGCAGAACCATTCCCGATGAGCAACATCCTGGAGTCTGCGAATCTGATAGCCGTGTCTATCCTCTCTCTCGCCGTAAATTAATGTTTTGTCTTCCTTGCCTTGGATGCACGGACACTTATCTTGTGAAATCTTCTTATTTATTGTTGTAGTCGTCTTATTTATTGTTATTGTCATCTTGTAAAGCGCTTTGAGGAGCCACCTTTAAAGGCGCTATATAAAATAAAGTTTTTTATTATTATTATTACCTGCTATCTGAAACCTAAACTAAACGTGTGTGGCACGGTGTCTTTCTGCAGCGATTTTTCGTTGATAAGATGAATGACAGCTGGGAATGTCTTCATTTAGTGTAATATACCGGTAGTGCACCGGTACTGGAATTGTAAAATGACCTTTTATGGCATCTTCTTGAACGTGTGTATCTTGAGGTAATTATCACACGGTTTCATGTGAAGTAAAATAAAAAGATGAGCCGCAGATGTATGGATATATAAGCTAACACACAGAAAGGCTGCGCGCTCGATCACACAGACAGACCTAGAGTCTCAGGTACATGCACTTCGATCGGTGCAGACATTCTTTCAGATTCCCCGGGAGTAAATGTCATTCACAATGGCTCACACCTGTCCGCTAGGGCTAGGAGACGCTGAGAGACAGGTCCTGATCCGACTTTTGTCATCTGTGCTCATCGAAGCCCTCAGCGCCGTCAACCATTAACAACAAATAATAACAAACGCGAGAACTATTTTTCCGAAGCGCAGCCCCTGACTACTTGTGAAAGCACCTGTCCATTCAAGCACAGCGAGAACACGGACAAGCAAGGCGATTCTCACATGAATTAGCAGGACAGTTGGGCAATGCTAACAGTGTGTTTGGGGGGAGTTAACTCTCACCTCTCTGTACTAAACTAAAGACGCACAGTGACATGGCGGACCAGCTGAGAGAGTCAGGAGCTGCTCACGGCTTGTGCGCACTCGGTCACTGACAGTGAGAAGACTCTCTCCGTCCGCTCTCCTAAACCAGGAAAACAAATCTTTCCAATGATTGCGATTCGCAGGGTTCCGCTCTTTCGAAATCACACCGATTCAGGAAAATCAATCGTTTCTATTTTCTTACTGCATCAGCACGAGCCTCGTGACCTCAGACCAGACAAACCTCTAGTCGGGTTTCCAAAAAAAAAAAACAGGAAAGTACTGAGTCATTCAGGCTGCTATGGTGCTTAACAGGAGCTTGATCAATGCAAAAAAAAAACTATTTAGATTAAGGCGCAGATTACACTGGGCTGGGGGAGATAGCTGGGAATCTGTTATTGAATGGGTTTTGGCACTTGCAGAAACAGCTACACAGTGGGGCTGCCCGACCTCTTCATTCTGAGCAGAAGACAGAGCTTGTGTGAGATCAGCTCTAGAAGACGGAGCTGTGCTCTGAAGTGTCAGCTGGATGGAAGACACCATAGCAGCCATGTTTAGGAAAACATGGGTAAAGACACCCAAGGACACTGAACAGAATTGAGAGCTGAGAATGGAAAGGTGAGCTTTAGGACGGGATCTGGAGGCGCGGACTCCTCTGCAAGCTGTACTCCGGGCCGGGAGATAATTCCACAGCCCGTGGGGCTTCGGCGATGAGACTTTACCTGTTGCCTGCTGCTCCCATCAATAGACGGCCGTCCGGGACAGCACACTTCAAAAGGCCCGTCTCCCCATTGTCTTCTCACTGGAAAAGAATGGGGAAGAGTAAATCACTCAGGGGGCTGTGATAAGGAAGTCCTTGAGATAAGAGCCCTGATCACAATGGGCCCCAGCCGTGTCCCTGCAATGGACAGGCCCTGTCTAGCCTTGATACTCTCGTCCCAGACTCATTCCAGTGATTCATCCACGGATCTGGACAGAACACAAGAAACAGTCCCGCCTGACTGCAGTGCACAGGGCTAGAATTAACACCAGCTACTGTATGAATGGCGTTGAGCTTTAAGAAAGGTCAGAGCCCACATTTAGCAAACATAACTCGCGTTCCGAAGACAGTAAGGCAAGAGAATTCTGCAGTTTCGTCCATCCAGCCATTTTCTAACCTTTTCATCCAGTTCGGGGTTGCAGGGGGGCTGGAGTCTAACCCAGCAAGCAACGGGCTAGAGGTAGGGTACCTCCTGAACCTGATGCCAGTCCATTACAGGGCACACAGACACTCACACACCGGGGACAGTTTTCCCAGAAGCCAAATAACCTACCAGCATGTCTTTGGGAGGAAACTCAGGCAAACACAGGGAGAACATGCAAACTCCACACAGACAGCATCCCAGGTCTGGAATTGAACTCGGGGCCCCAGCACCGCAAGACAGCACTGCTAACCAGAAGGCTGTAGTTAATAAACTATACTATGCTTGCATTTTCAAGTGTGCTGTCTTTTAAAAATAAACATCACGGCAAACATGGAATAGTATTCACAGTGGGCAGACATGCCTGCCTGGGGGGGGACACCGCTGTGTCCTGTGACCCAGACTGGGCCCCGCTGTCGTGAGGAATCAGGGTGACCCCAGCCTGCCCCGGGTTAGGGCAGAGAGCGGAACGCTTGGAAAGTTTCAGGCGCGAGTCAAGTCAGAGGGCGGCGACCCTGCTGCGTTCCAGACAGTAACCTGGACGTTGCCCCATCCTGCGTGTGCAACTGTCTCACCTTTTCGCATTCAAGTCCTGGTTTTCTTCCCTGCTGTCTCACGCTCTCTTCAGCACACATGAACAATCGCAATAAGAAAGAACAGCCCGCCCTCATCTCCGCTGTTTCCCAACCTCCTGTTCAGCCTAGTCCACACTTCTGTCCAGTCCTGAAGAGGACACACCTGCTCACTCGAAGCTGAAGAGCCATTATTGAGTCGTTGTTCTTGATGTCGTGGTTTTACTGACATTAATTAATCTTATTCTTCAAGAAAAACAAGAGATCAGCCTTAATAAAGACATGAGTACATAGTTTTAGCCCAGAATACTGTGGGTAGTATTTCTCCAGAATTATCAATAAACAGATCTCTTTTAATATCCTTTCGATATGTACGTGCATAACAACGTCCTTTATTTCTTTTCTAGCAGTCAGGACACTATCTGTCTCGTCTCTCAGTTATTATTCGCCCCCTTCCTGTTTTGCCTCATGGGTGTGAGATGGGTTTCATGTTTTCCCAGCACTCTCTGCTCCCTGCCATGTGTACTTCCATTGACGCTCATTCCTCCCAGCATGCCCTGAGTGCTGAGGCCTTTCCAGAACAGCAGTCTGCAGGAAGTCAGGGACCCCCTTGTGAAGGAGCTGGATCTATCTCCCCCACCCCCCGACACTGCAGGTGCAGCAGGTGTAAGCCCCCTTACAGGTGCGAGATCTCCCTCCCACCACCACAACCGCTGTGGAGATCTAAGCGCCATTTTCAGAGCATGCTATCAGCACAGGCTGGAGGTTACCACCTGCTGCATGTGTTCTTAAGAGGAGACTGTGCAGTGCTACATGCGT